TCGATTGGCAAGAGCCATATTCGTCCTGTGCAACTGAACTGAACTGAACTGAACTGAAGACTTCAAGACTGAAATGTGACCTTCACCGTTGTTTGCTGACGCTTGCATCTTTGTAACGTTGAAGTCTTCAATTATTTCTCGGGTTCGAGGCTAAGCCCAATGCTCCCGGATCTTGGTTTGTCGGTTTTCGATTGATAGGCCGTGTGTGCTGACGAGAATTTGAGAGCACCGCTCGCTACTGAGGGTAATTAAGCTGGGGATTCAGTTAACCTTGTGGTTAGTTGACGCAACTTTTTGACGTGCTCTCCTCTTGAAAATATTAACCTTACTGGTTGTGGTAGATCAATTAATTTGTGCATACTTACGCATCTCTTATTATCGCCCCTTTAAAGAAAACTTAGAAATCTAAGTTTCTTGCATTTAACTCCTCAATCCTCGTTTTTATTTTCTCGCTTTTCGACAATTCTTGTTGATTTTGAACTGCAAAATTATTCTCCCCATCTCATGTTAGCTACCCAGCTTCGCAGCTGAATCAGCTGTAAAGACTCGGGCTAGAGTACTCTCCCCATGAGGGAATACCTGCTGTTCAGTGATGGAAACTGGCAACCTAAGCCCCGAGACTTGGAGTGGCGAACCGCATAAGGTCAAGCGTGGTATTGAACCGGACACCAACTAAGCTGCCTGCCACCAAAGTTGGGTGGTGGCGGTGGGGCTCAAACCCGTAATATACATTATACAGATTTTGTGAAATTATTATCACATTTATTTAATCAACAATAGCTTAACACTAATCTGCAATTTTAATTTTTCTGCAGATATCGGAACATATTCATGATGGCTGCAGCTACATGGAGCGAGATTCGGGACCTCGCAGATCAGCTAAAAACGACGCAAGAAAGAGGATGTGCACAGACTCTTTCAGAGCGTACTTGGGTGGATGTCGTTCGTTATTTGATTGATACCAACAGACTTAAGCTAATTTTCACAACGGATGGTCGTTCGTACCTGACAAAAGAAGAGCTAGAAAAAGAAATACGAGAAGAAGTTGAAGCCCATTCTGGACGAATATCTTTAATCGAAATAGCCTCTAATATAGACGTGGACCCTCTGATTGTTGAAGCACGAGCGGCCGAAATGATTGCAGCAGATGCACAAGACAAATCTTCAAATCGGTTACTTAGTTTGCCTGGAGAATTGATAGACGAGTCTTATGTGCGTCAGGTTGCGCACGAAATTCAGGATATGTTTGAAGAACGAGGACAAGTTAGTATTGGAGAACTTGCCACTGCCTTCGGACTACCAACGGCTTTCTTGTTAAACATTATAAACGAATACCAAGGAACGTTGTTTCGTGTTCAAAAGTACGGTGAGAAGTACCTGACAGATGCTTATATGACAACCAATCGAGCCAAAGTGCGGGGCTACTTTACCGCCCTGATGCGCCCAGTTACCTTAAGCGTTGCATCCACCAAGCTGGGCATTCCGGAAAACCTCCTAACTAGCATTGTCTCCAGCCTAATAAGCAGTGGACAATTGTGCGGAAGTTTGATAGCTGGGCGCGGGACTTTTGTTCCATTGTGCTACACAAATGCGGAGGACAATTACATCAATGCGTTTTACAACCAAAACGGCTACGTTGAGTGGAGTTACTTGAAACGCCTCGGCATATCTGATCCTGCAGTGTATCTTAAGAATCTTCTACCGAAAGCAACTCATTTGTCTGGTGTATCTGTCGGACCTGTTCTCTTAGATCAGTTGAAAGCCACTGTTGAAGAAGCTGTTCGTGAGTCCACATGGGTTGATCTAACTCACTGTCTGCCACCCGGTTTGGAGACGAAAGAACGCATGCAAGTAATTGGTCCGTATATCAAGAGTTCACCTCTTCAACCGGTTGCGGGAGGCGCTTTTATCGTCTCGGACGTGTACATAAACCAATGTGAATCAGTATTTGAAAAGTTTCTGAAACTTCGGGCTCAGGAAGTTTTCGACGAACACAGGCGTTCCATACCCGCGTCTACAACTTACACGATTGTAGAGGCTGAGCAACCGTCAAAGCGTGGAACCCAATCCTCTAAAGGTGGTTTTGGTTTCGGTGCGCGTGAGGTGAAGACGAAAAATGTGAAGAAAAAATATGTACCAGGGAAGAAGAAGGCTGGTTCTCATAACCCCACGGGTCCGGATGATGAAAGTGCTGGAAATCTACCAGATGGTTCCTCAAATATGCTGAGTTTTTCAAAACATGTGAATGAGGACGAACTTAACCAACTACTCGCTGGTGAGCTTCCTTCGGATGTTCCGGAAGAAGTTGTGGAGGGTGTGGTTACCCTGTTGTTCCCCAAACTGGAACGTTTGTTTGCAAAGATTATTGAATCGCTTTCCAGTGAGGATACTGGAATTAGACGAGGGAATATAGGTCAAATACAAGAGGCAGTTAATAACATGTTATTCTCAATCCAGGTAGGTGTTCGTGGTAACCGTTCCTTTTTTGTTTTGTCGTTAATTAAGAGTTACACTGTCGTACTTATTCCATTGCTATCGGATGTGGTTTATCTAATCCAATCCCAGGACTTGGAAAGCCAGCCCCCATAAACGAACAACAAGATCTGGTAAACATCGAGTTCACCTTTTTATTGTCTATGATACTGTGTTGTAAACCAACACTGTTTCCGTAAATGTCATAATTAGATAGGTTGGGTCGTTCCAGCTAACCACGAGTACATGCATATATTATTAAAATGCCGTAAGATCGTATCCAACAGAATTTGTAATCCAGTAAACCTGTGGTGTTTACCGTAAAACTTGGAGTACTAACTTTATGAAGTTCAATCCGAAATGATGTATATTGAAAGGAAGCACCCGTTAGAGGTTGCCAAGTAGTGGAATGTTGGGTAAACAAGTCAGAATGATTCGTTCTAATTAATCATAAACAGCCGCCTGTGTGAAAATCGGTTACAAAGTATCATCATATTACCCTGAAATACAGTCAAGTGAACTTCGCCGATCATTGCGGAACCTACTGTGCATGCAAGTTAAAGACCGTAAGGTGAATAGGGAGCGAGATTACTTTGAAGAACGGAGGAATCTTCTTGTTGTCGTCTCTTATCAGGCCAGAATGCTTGAAACGGTAAGTATGCACAGTTAGATTGTGTCTTGACCACAGAGGTTCCCCTTCTTCCCCATCCGTCAAAGTAGGTCCAATCCCTGTCCATTTTAAATATTACCACTAACCTTGTATATATACATTGTGAGTTTGGCAGTGATCAGTGAAGTTCGCGTCACTGTATTTCGCTGTACGATGATGCTGATGATGAACAGACAAGAAGGTGACAAAGAGAACACATTTAACCGGGACTCGGAAAGCACCCAATGTATTAAATATCTCAGTGTATCAG